GAAGTTGCTGAAAAATGGCAGACACTAATCAAAACTAGCTCTAATCACGCGTCTAGATTCTTATTAGAGAATCTTTATTAAAAATCATTTCTTTGTTGCTTATTAAATATTAAACAATGATAAATGAACGTTGTTAATCGATTCTTTTTGTACGCACTTAAAATAAAATATATGTTTGAAATTTGATAAAAAGCGAGAAGGAAAGCTCTAGTGCAGCCCAATGCAGTAATAAAAAAACAAATCTAAGAAATCCAAGCACAAACAGGGAGGAACAAGGGCGTGCCTAGCAAGCGTGCAATGCGTGCATAGACGGTTAAAGTCTGCAGAGAGGCAGTCGAAGACTCATTATACTTGAACCTACTACAAATGCAATGGAGTCGCAGCTTCCTAAGTGTTAGTAGTATTCATTAAAACTGTCTTCTTATTGCGTTAGAAAAAAGCTGTGTAGTGTTACAAACGTTAAAATTCAAGTGTAGTTAAAACCTCGTTAAAATGAACAAAATTTAAATTTAAAAAAGAGGTTTTGAAACTTAAAATCTTTACTGCTTAAAATCTTTTTTATTACTGTATCTTTTGAACCTCTTTCTGTGAGTTTGATCATTTTTGCATATAGAAAACTACAAGCTGAATAATATGGGAAATTTTTTTCTCACTTTGTGGATCTGTCACGTGCCCCAAAAAACTTAAACAAATTTTCAATTATCTAATGTGAAAGCTTTCCGCCTACAAAATGATTTTTAAAAATGTTCCTTAGATTTTACTGCGCTTTTATTACTATGAGTTATCGCAAGTTAAATAAAAGGAGCATTTTATTGATTCTATTAAAAATCATCATAAAGTTTAAAAAATAGATTTTTAAAGTTAAAACTTGTTCATTATACATATAATTGCCAATTTTTTTTTAAACTTATAAAGATGTGATAGAAATGACGTAACGCTACGAACTTTTGTGCTAACTCAATATTTGATAATTGTTGAGTTTAGAAGCCTCTATCTCCGATCTTGATAAAATTAGTCTGATTCGATGCGTTAAAGTTGACAGATATTCAAGTTAGGAAATCTGTCACATCAATGGCAGAGGGTTAGCAAATTCACGAAGCAATGAATTTGCGTTTTTAAAGCAATGAATTTGTGTTTCTAAAGCAGAGAATTTGTGTTTATAAAGCAGAGAATTTATATAACTCTCTATGCCATTAATATGACAGATTTCCTAACCTAAATATCTATCAACTTTAACAATTAATATCTCAATTCGCGGGACTGAGCAATACTTTTTTGCCAGATTCCTTCATTTGCAAAAACGTGTTGAATGAGACTAATTTTATCATGATTGAAGATAAAGCTCCTAAATTCAACAATTGTCCATATTTTAACATATATTTTGCATAATTTTCCTTTTTTGTCTTTTTTTAACAATTAATCAAAAATCCCTAGGTACAGATAATTATATGTGCACTTTTGGGATGGTACACTTTTGGGGCGAAATTATTTTTGCACGCGGGCGCTTAATTCTTTTTGCACACTTCTGGGGAGGAGCAGAAGGAAGAATATTGATCGTGAGTCGGGAGTAGACATGCGCCCGAGTCGTGATATCTTCCTCGCCCCACCCTATATCGGCGGCAGAACACCAAGCCCAAGGTAGGCGATAATGGAACATGCGTCGCATTGGTCAGTACTGAGGTCCACGTCGCTCCGTGGCAATTAAGAATAATAACGTGTGCTTGGTGCGCCTAGATAAAGGAAGACTGATCAGTCCGGTCGGTTGATGTTCCAAGGGCGTGTCGATTAAAATAAAAAGACAATTATTCTCTCCGCCCATGCTGGGGCATCGAACTACGCCAACTACGGTCCACTCCAAATCGGCGCAGAATCGGTGGACGTAGCCGGGAAGAGGCAGCGACACGTAACGAGGCTCATTCAGCGACGGTGATTTCACGGTAGCGAACACACGTACGCATCATTAATAACGTGTATACGCGTGTGCGTGCACGTCGCGTGTGTGTACGTGCGATAATTTAGCTACGTAACGTCTCTCACTGTATATCGGGGCGCATCGTCATTTGGCGGAACACATGCCTTGTTAACCGACTGAAGTCAGATAGTTGTGTGCCAAGAGGATCATCAGAAGCATCGCCTAGCCGCGCTAGTGGGATATTGACGAAGAGAGATAGGGGAAAAGAGGAGAGTGAAGAACAAATCAGAAGAAGTCATGTCCGACTTGGACGACGAGACCGACACTTCCTGCGGGGAAGAGCAAATTGTCTCGGATTGGGAAGTCCGGAAGGAGTGGCTCGAAACTATATTATCGAAGCACTACAAGGGCAAAGCGGTTAGTCATGTAAACAAGTGAAATAGAGATTTATATTAATGATCGCGTTAGATATATATATATGATAGTTAAGGTCTGATTCGAGCATTGAATGATTTATTTAGGTTAAAGTCTTAGAGTTTAACGTAAATTCTGGATGCACGACGAGCGAAAGTGTGCTGAGCGCTATCACCAGCGTTACGGTAAAATATTTAGCAGCACTTACAAGTATAACGAACAAGCCGATTGATAGATGCAAAACGTCTCTTATCATAAAGCAACTCCCTAAGGATCCGTTTAGCCGCTTTTTCGTTACAGAAGGCCAATTCGATCTCCGAGAAATTAAGTTTTATACGCAGGTAAGGCGATAGGTAATCGAATAAGATTTGAAATTTTTTCCTGTTTGACGATTTTTTATGCTGTGCGTTTGTATATTAGGTGATGCCAGATTTGAAGGAATTCAATGAAAGACAGCTAGCGAAGAATGATAAATATGAAAACAGGATCACGCTACCAGTTCCAAGGTGCTTTCACGCTCATTATAGCCCTGCAGGCGGAACCGATGAGAGTCCAGTGCCACCGGAATCAATGCTAGTATTGGATAACTTAAGCGACGACGGTTATGAAAGTGTTGAATTTTCGAGAGGATTAACATTAGATCAAGCAATGGCAGCGTTAGACGCCATCGCCCGGATACATGCCCATTCTCTGTCGATGAAGGTCGTAGACGGACAATCTCTGTCCGAGCGTTATCCATTTCTATTCCAAACGGCAAAAGCAACGGATTCGTACCAGCAACTGGTAGAACGCGGTTTACCGCAGCTGGCGCGCTTCCTGGAGAGTAGACCAGGATTGGAGACGGTTCTCGAGACTCTGTTAGTTCTACGACCTCGCACTAAAGATATTATTTCGGCTCTTCTCGCTCCGGAAGGTCCGTTGGCATTAATAACTCACACAGATTTTTGGAGCAATAATTTGCTTTTTGGAAATAGCTTTTCAGAATCTACGAAGTGTTACATTCTTGACTGGCAGATGGTCACTTATAGTCGACCGACGAACGATGTCGCATTGTTGTTGGTGAGTTCAGTGCCTACCGAATTACGGCGCAAATATACTAAAACGCTTTTGGATAAATATTGGGACAAGCTGAATTGGACGTGCTTACATCTTGGCCTAAATATCGTCAAGGATTTAGGTTACACCAGAAAGGATCTCGATAAGGACTATAGAAAGTCCCAACTATTGGCACTTTTACTTTGCATAGGATCGGTGGACGTCGCACTCGGTAATCCCCTTACGGAGCAACGACTGATTGACGTTCTCGAAGATCTATATAATGATGGCGTACTAACAGATGAAGCCATTATCGCAACAAAGGAAACTGATTCTTAATCATCGCTGCCACGGTTAGCGTATACACCGAAGAATTAATATTTCTGTCAAGGCTGACTAAGCGAAAAATTTTATGTAAAGCAATAGATAGCCCGTTTGTAGTTTAAAGACGCAATTTTTGTGTTTTCAATCTAAAAGAAGCTTGAGCTAGCAACATGAATGCCGGCATCGAAGAAGATAGTTGTAAAGAAACATGTCGAAAGAATATAGACATTAAAAACTACTCGATTTTGTCTGGTTTCGACAAGATACTAATTACTGTAAAACGAGCGAGATAAGTCAAGATCGATATGCTTAGAGAATACGATAAATGTCTTAGTTATATATTAATGTATGCTTTGACAACCTATCAACTATTATTCCTTAAAAGCTGTAATATTTTAATGACTATTCATGCAAGACTCACTTGCAATTTGATGAAAGTCTCAAAAGTAAGATAAAATCGAAAGCAAATTTCCTGGAAGAAGCTACGTAAAAAAAATTTCTTAATAAATTTCTTAATAGACGTAAGTTTCTTCAATGTTCAATTCGGTTTCTGCTCAGATAAACTGCTAATAGACGTCTTTAATGCGCTGTGCCAAGTCGTTAAAGATTTATGCAAGTAGTTGTGATACAATTATTAAAACGGAATCAGCTAGATCCGTGATTAATGATAGGACATATATCAAAGTTATAGAGTATTTTCGAGATATACATATAAAACAATTACGTTCCATTTGCCCATATACATCCCGTGATAAACTTCTTCCGATAATTATTTCAGCGAACGCGCTGTTTTGTTAATGCTATGTATACAATTATTGTACTATCCATTTTCTCTGTATAAACTATATGGATAAAATATACTTCGATGTTATCACGAATAGTAAATAAAGTTCCTATTGCAATTGATACAGATGCACTTATCTTTTTTCTTTCGGTCACAAAAATTTACACGAGCAATTATTTATTTTTAGTATTTTCGTAAGACGAGAAATATTAACAAAACATTTAGAATAAATAATGCTTAATCATGAATATTTACGCAACTATCTAATGCGTTAGTAGCTAACTTGCAAACATTGAAAGTAGCACATTAATGATTATAAAAAATATTTAATAAACTTACTGATGCAGTGACTCCCCCTGCGATAAAGGCATTTCTCTTGTGCTTGTTGGCTTTCTCATATCTCGTATACAATTTTTGACCTACCCATACCGGTATACCTTAAACACAAAATATATAATGTTTGTAGTAACACATTTTTTCGATGCTATATATATTTACACTGTAAATATATATATTTATGCTGTCGCAATATATCTGTTAATATGTTAATAATATATAACCAACCTATAATCATAGCTGGAAATGCTATGCCGGCGACGAGACCAATCCCAATTGGTGCTCCCACCAAAGTTCCAAGTTGCCAAAGAATCTTTTTCTTTCTGGACCATGGCTTTTTACCCCAAAAAGTGCAGCCAGAAGGACTGTAAATAAAATAGAAGAACGTATACGTTTAAATATATTTGTTGTATGCATTCATATAACTTTATTCTAAATACCTAAGATAATGAAGATCACTAATCTCTTTCATACAAAGCCAACAAAATTCAGCACCGCAAACTGCACAAGTCATATGGTTGCAACTTCCATCGTCCATTTTGACGATTAGAACTTGACATCTGGGACACGGTTTTATATCATCTCCTAAACAGATCATAAAGTTTAAGTATAATTTGATGTTAGTTAAATAAATATTAATTCGTAAGACTTACTGTGTTGAGAATCAGTTTGACTGAAACTTAGAGAAGAGCTGCGCTCATAATATTGAGATCGTTGCGCTCTAGCAGCATCGCACGTTTGGTTAGGATGCCATCGTGCTTTACAATGATAGCAAAAATACGAATCGCAGCCTGGTCGTTCGCAACGTAATTTTGGACATGAGGCGCAACCACTAGCAATTACAGCAAAACTACAATCTGGAGCAGGACACCATCTTGCATCAGGCTCTATAGCTAGTACTCTTCGAACCATAAAATCTTCATATTTCTCTAACTGCGTTTGATCATTCAAAATCATCCGAATATCTATACAAAAATGTAATACGAAAGATTGTAAGTGATAGGAACTTTTGAATCTTATAAAAAATATTATAGGATATGAAACAATGTTAGAACAATATAATTGTATATTTGTATATTTATAATATACTCACCATTTGGATGTAATGGTTCTGAACACTCAGGACAAGCAATATTAACTCTGGATTCAGAGATTTCCACTTTCAGATATTGTTGAAAACAATCGTAGCAACTGCGATGATGGCAAGATTGAATAATAGGAAAAAATTCTACTGGCAATTCGGCCAAACATAATGGACATTCCATTAATCCATTTTCATTACTCTGAAATAATAAAAATAAAATTTAATAATAAAAGCTTATTGATAAAAAAATCTGTGACTTTTACTCAGCTTATTGAAATGTATAAATGTTATTTCGCTTTATAAATACCTTTCCTGCAGAAGAAAGCACAGAACCTTTGCTAGGAGCACGCTGTAGATCTATATTATGAAATTGGAAATGGCTCGAACCGTTACTTACTCTGGCCTCTCCTTTTTCAACATCTGTTGTTCTGCCGCTTGCTTGATCTTTGGCTGTAAAAATGTTTTTTTATTTTGAAAAGTTATGCTCACTTTCAATTTTATATATATGTCAGATTAATAGAACTTGAAGTTACCTTTTGCATTCCTATTACTTGCACTAGGAGTTCTTGCGATGCGTCGACCAATAAGCGGACTGGAATACAATAATCTTCGCAGGGAAAATCGGGGAAATAATCTCCGAGGACGAGGTGGTGCACCATTGCAACCACCTATGCCATTTTCGTTTTCTTTAAACATTTTTAAGAGAAGTATTGGGAAACGTTACGCGTTGCTAGACAAAGAAGTTATCATAGTTTGCTTCTTAATGTTCAGAATGAATACGTTCTGAAATCATAATAAACAATTATAATTAATTAGGGTACCTTAAAATACTAATTAATCAAATAATTAATAAAACTTTTATGAAAGTATTGAATTATATAATAATATAATATATTAATTTGTAAAAATCATATTTCGATTAAATTATTGTACTATCCATTTTCTCTGTATAAACTATATGGATAAAATATACTTCGATGTTATCACGAATAGTAATACATAGGGATAAAAAATAGTATTACATAGGGATTAAAATTCATGCAGAGGATCCGATAAATAAATACAGCTGTTCAAACAAAATTTCATTGAGATATACTGATTAATATGCTGTTTTCTTTTTTATGTATATTATATAGATACAATTACGTAAAATGTGATACACGAAATATCGAATCTATTAATTAACAGCATGAATAGACTTTACAAACACTTGGTACTGTATGCGTGACCGCGGCAACAACAATGATCTCGCTTATTCATTGTCGTTGTCATTCATGTGATTCATTGCAGAGATAATTGAGAATTTAATGAATATCATGTCTTCATTCGCGAGACATTGGAGAAACATTTATACTCAGGCCGCGTTATATTTACAGATGTATATCAAGGTGTTATAAAAATAAAACCAATGATCGAATACAATAAACTGAGCAAAATATGCATATACAGGAATAAATTGTATGAATTATGTCGAAACTACTTTTGCCGACAAGAATTTTGAACATAGTCATAATATTCTTTTAAAAAATAATATATTTATTGAATATTACAAAAATATGCAATACAAGTTCTGTTATACTTTCGTATTAAATATTCATATTAAAGTTTAAATTAATTTTTTTAATCTTCGAAGACGAAAAACTCAAGTGAGTTAACGAAAATGACATGTATGGAAAATATCTAATCTATAATGTCCATTTCTATATGTATCAATGTAGATTAACTTTAATTTAGATTTAATTTATTCGCATTAATTTTCTACTTCTTGACTAAACTAGTTTTTCAAGTTCTATTTTTGTAGAATTTACAATTTACATTGATAGAAATGAACATTCTGACAGATTTTATCTGCTACATCCGTGATAACTGATCTCATAAATGCGGTTTCATATCTTCGAAAGAATAGCCGAGATTTTTTTTTTCAGCTATAATATATGCGCGGTCATCCGGTATTTTTAACACGTTATTGTCAAAACGATTCGCCGCTTTCTCCGGGAAAGGAATGATGAAGTTGAATCGCAAACGCACAAACGCGATGGCACATCAACGATTTCATCACGTCTATGGGACACATGAATTATGAGTGTTGCAATATTTAAAATCGACATGCACGATCTGCAAAGGAGAGATCATATTCCTGCAGACTCTCATTCTTTGCGATATGTATATTTTCCAGATTGCATCACGCCTCGTTATCTTTCATAAACTGGCCCTACTGATATAAAATGCATATTATCATGTGCTGAGCATTAGTGAAGGATTATTTTCCTCGTAATGTATTACGTTACACAATTGAATGATGCTTGATCCAACTTGAATGACTATTAAAACAAGGTCTGCTTGAAGATACTTAGACAACACAGAGTCTCAGGACATAAAACATCTTTAATTTCTATCAATGTAGTTTAATTTTAATCTTGGTTTAATTAACTTTTTATCCTTTCTAGTTCTAAGAATTAAAAAAAAATTAAAAGCATAAGTTGAATTGAAATTAAAGTTAATCTACATTGATAGAAACGGATATAAGACGTTCTTTCAGCTTACAAAAATGTTATTGAAATGTCTTTAAGAGTCTAAGTCTTATGTCCCGATTTTTTGGACTTTGGATATTATTGACAAATTACTATTTATTTATATATTCACAATTCGATTTATCAAAATTTTTTGAGCTAAAACATTGAACAAACAATATGAAAGATCAATGCGAAACACAAATAAGTAATATAAAATGACGATTAATATTAATGAGACAAATAATAATATAAATTAAAATATTAATATAAAATATAAATAAGGTCTCACGAAAAGGGAAAGTTGTCTCTTACAACGATGATGACGTCACCCATGTATTTTCTTATTTCAATACAGAATCGCTATCACAAAATTAAACCAGCTTTACATACTTTCACATTCGTTCAAGACAAATTTCCGCGGATCAATAAATTTAAATTCGCTAATTCATAAAAAATTACTGCTTGATTTGTTATAATCGGAATTAGCCGCACAATCGGATCGGAATTAGTCACGACGCAGCTCGTTTGGACATTTCTATTGCGACGATTTAAACGTGGTATCGTCCATCGCGGGAGAGCTGTCATCAAAGACGCAGCGGGAGATCACAGCGACGAAATACCGTCACGCGGAGTGTCTCGAATCTCGGGATCTCGCGTTCTCGTATCGAATGATTGCTACTGATGCGTGATCGAGCAAACGTGCGTACGTGCGACAGAGATGGTAAAAAAAAATATGCTGACAGACTCGCACTTTCGATGATTCTGTTTACTCGTCGCTAACGTGCGTCAGCGAATGCCGCGGGCTGACGGAGTATGCGCTTATTCCTTTTTTTTCGCTCTCCAACGAGAGAGGTGCTCGAGATAAGGCGCGGCTCGTGAAAAATCCTACGTCTTATCTCCGTTCGCGAACGCGCCTCATGGCTCGTGCGCCTAATGACTGGCAAATGCAAAAGTACCGAGAGACCATGACTCGATTTCTCCCACGACGGGTAATGCGTGCTCACAGTTGCCGAGGAAAAACGTACCGCCGTGCTGTCGAGTGCAGGTCAGTCGATCGCCGAGATAAGCACGGCTCGTTGAGAATCAACCGGGTTGTATAAAACTGACCAATTATTCGCACAATTTGTTGGTTAAGGATGTTCACTTCTACACAACAGCTGACTGCTCCGATTACGACGGC